CATACGGCCAGGCCCACCGTTTTAAGCGAATTTGCTCAAAAGACACTGACTTCCACGCGAGCTCACAAAAGCTTAAACTCGTGCTCGAAAAACAGAAATATCCTCCACATGTAATTGATGACGCTATTCAAAAAGCTAGAAAACTTCAGCGTGATGACCTTCTGATGAAGCGGCCACCACAACACAACCTGCAACAGACACACCTATGTTTAACATACAGCACGAATTTCCCCAACGTTAACAAAATCCTTAAACGACATTACAACATACTGGAACAAAGTGAACGTCTAAAACGTGCATTCCCATCGGCTCCTGGCGTCGTTTACCGACGAACACGCAACCTCAAAGACACACTTGTAAACTCCCAAATCAATACTTCAACTTCCGACAGTTCATGCCGACCTTGTCTGAAGCCTCGATGTTTTGTATGCAAAGCGATGCGAGATACAAGCAAGGCAAGCAGCACACAATCCAACTTTTCAATTAACATACGAGGAAATCTAACATGCGATTCCCCTAATGTGGTATATCTACTTGAATGCAACGTGTGCGGCATGCAATACATCGGACAAACGGAAACACCCTTTAGGATTCGTTTCAATAATCACAGAGCCCACGCGAAATCAGCGCCGAATCTACCTCTATCAAAACACCTTAACCTTCCCGGCCACTCCTTCGACAAATTGTCAGTCACACTTTTAGAAACAGGATTTAAATCAAACCGGGAACGTGAACAACGTGAATCATACCTCATACACCGATTTAACACCCTCGAAAAAGGCATAAATGAAAGTCCGGGTACACTTGCAGCAATCAAAGCACTATAATATATACATATGCATTTATATGTGTATATGTACTTATGCATATGCGCATATGTATGGGGGTGTATGTGTGTATATGTAAGTTTATAATTGTAATCATAACAGTTCAAGATTTCGCGGCACTGTGGCGGCGACGAGGACTGGACAACTACAAATATCTTTGCGTGTTTCAGTGAACCACTGTCGTCTATTTCTATTTCTCTGAATAACCGAACAATAGTTGTAAGCCCGACTTGTCGAAGGGTCACCGCATGCACAACTAAAAGCCCCGAACGTGGATTCCCAGAACAAAATGCAATCACTTCAAACGCCCCTTCTCGCCTTTTGGCAACCCTTCCCCGATTTTGGCAACAAAGCCCGACATCCACATACACAACTAAACGCCCCGAACGCGGTTTCCCAGTACAAAATAGCAATCACTTCAAACGTCCTTTCTCGCAGTTTGGAAACCCTTCCCGCATTTCGACAACAAAGCCCGACATATAGAAGGGCCACCCCATACACAATTAAAACCCCCAAACGCGGATTCGCAGAGCAAAATAGCATTCAAAACGACAGACAGCGCCTTAAGAAACATTTTCTCCCGCGCCGACTTCCTGGAGCCTCGGAACGCTGTCCCCGACGCCGAATTAGTGACGGTCTTTAAAAAATAAAAAATAAAAAATAATAATAAAAAAAGCATTTTTCGCGACACGCAAGCCCTTACCTTAGCCAGGCCCCGTCTACAATAAAGGGACCGCCACCAAACTGCACTGAACGCAATACTAAGAAAATACACACTGACGACGCCACTCGCGAAGCACAGTGGAACCTGGAACTTTCTGGATATCCTTTCCTCTCTCGTTTTTCAAACTCTTTCTTTCTTTCTTTTTTTTTTTTTTTTTTTTCGTTCCTTCCCTCTCATTTTTTACCCAAAATACTATAAATGTGAGCGCAAACAGAATGTACCATGACTCCTGATGAAGGCCAGACTCTGGCCGAAACTGTCGAATTAAACACTTCCGTTGTTACCGTTCTCTTGGAGGATCTACTTGACTTATTGCAACGCTACGGCCATTTTCGCCACCATGCCTGCCTATATATATATATATATATATATATATATATATATATATATATATATATATATATATATATATATATATAAGGGAAAGAAGTGTATCCCTAAGGGCTCGTTTTTCAGTGTTTTAACACAATAATGAGATCTAACAGACAGTAATGCCAAGGAATGTACAGGGGAAGTTATTAGAACCAATGGAATGTAAATAAGAAGAAAGAAAGGTGGATGCTCGAACGCGTTATTCGAAGGTCGTAGGTTCGATTCCTGCTCACGGCTGGTTATTTTTTCATCCACTTTTCTGTCCACTTTTCAGGACCAGGATTTTTTCATCCCCTTTTCAGGACCAAGTTGACTGGCAAAACATGGGAGAGGGCTTTCTCCTGCAGTGGACGCAGTCAGGATAATGATGATGATGATGATGATGATGATGATGATGATGATGATGAACAACGAAACGAAGGAAAGTGTGGGAAGACCTATATTCAACCTCCTTAAATGTCATGTTCTAATTATTGCATAAACGGAATGGAATTAAAGTGGGTGGAACAGCAACTTTAACATGGATGGAACAGCTTATACGGAGCTTAATATAACGCTTCCAAAGCTGTCACTACACAGGCTAATACTACCAGATTTACAGGCCCAGACGTGCTTCGTTAAGTATGCGGGAGAGCTACCACCGCCGTAGACCAATTAGTAGAACATCGCATGTGTGATTCGATGCTTGTAACTTCAGTTTCGGCCGGCCCGAAGTTGATTTTCACCGCGGTGTTGCTTAAGCTGAGCGTTAGTCTGTACAGAGCGAACAGAACTTGATCATGATTACCTGTATGAGGGCTCACACCCATGAATTGGCATGCGCTCTTCTCATCTTCTCTTCATCGGCGTCGTCTTCATCTTCGCTCCCAGAACACGTGCGCTTATTTATCCATCGCGGAATGCAAAAACTCTGACGGGTGAGAAAACTAGTACAGAAAGTGAGAAAGAAAGAGAGAAAGACAGAGAAATAGAAAAAAATACGGAGAGACAGAAATCCTTGGCGAAGAAAAATTCTTAACTAGGTGGGATTCGAATCTGTGTGACCACCATTTGTGGGTGAGCGTGTTGAGCACTCGCCTATCGAAGCACGCCTGCACAACTTAATATAACCTTGTATATAACATAGCAAGATGGCGGGTAAGAGTAGGGAGGGTGAAGATGACGGCTTTGATGGTGAGGGGAGAATAAGGAGAAGGGAAGAATGAGTGCAGGGAGAAAACCGAGCGACAATGGACGGGAAAGCAAGAGAAAGGGAAGAAAGAAAAAGGTAGAAAGCAAGATAACTACAGAATGAGCGAGAAATAAAGTGATAGAAAACAAGAGAAAGAGACAAATAGATAGAAAGGAAGAATAGAAAGGGAGAAAAAGAAAATAAAATGACAAATGCAGTAACGAAGAGATTAAATCATGAAAAGAAAGAGAGAAATAGAAAGAAAGGAAAGGTATAGATAATAGCAGTAGCGCATGCATGTGCCAAGCGCCGATAAACTTGCAAAACGACCAAATCAAACGCCTTAACAATTACCTTTACGTAGACCACCACGTGTGGCAGATTGATGGGCTCGCACATTGCACGGGAGTGCGCAGATAAGTGTTCGTGCTTTGTTTTTGTTCCGCCTTTCGACGCTTCTTCAGTGACTAGCAGGTATTCGTGGTGTCTCAACTTGCTTCTTGTCTCTGTGTTTGCGCACCCTGTGCACTTTAGAATAGAAAAAAAACTATACACAAAAAGCTCCGAAGGAATATAACACAGAGTCCTGCATAGCGTAGAACAGCGATGGGTGCGAAAGGGGGGGGGGGGGTGAGAGCGTAACAGCCTAGCCAAGCCAGGACCATCCCGCCATCTCTCCTGGGACGTAAACTGGGACCTAGCCTCACGCGACTTACAGTAACCACTGAGCTAACGTTTTTTTTTTTTTCGCATCCCGCTCGATTTCTTTGAATGCCTGTCATAATTACTACCTTACAGTTACCAAAAACAAATAGTACTTTATTTGGCATCATTGTCTGTTTCTTTTATTTGGTTTTGACGAATGAATAGGACGGCTCTTGATCCCTCCCTCCTTTACCGTTCAGCATAATGCCTCACAAAACATAGTTTTTAGGCCCTCGCTCTTCAACATGTCTGGTTGATGCGGACGTCAATGCACTCTTTTATGGATGTGCTATTGCTAGACAAATACTTGTTGAGTACGCGTAGCTCCCTTTATGCAGGCTATCGAGCGGGTACATACACTAAGCAAGTGTTGGACTTGCCCCTCGTTCCTCTCGCCTCAACCTACCGGGAAAGAGACCTGCATGCCTAACATCGCCTAACATCAGTCCCGCTGTTCAAATTTATCATGATAAACCAGCTAGCCCGTGAACACACTTTGGCCTTCTCGAATAACTATTATTATGATCACCGTTGGCCGTAACTGCTGAAAATAGGACTATTTTGCAAGAGACCTGAAATTCTGTTATGTCATGGCTTCTGTTTATACAGCTCCCACAATTTTTCCTGGTCTCACGAACAAAGTACCTTTCGCACACTACTGCACTGCGCTACTTTCTGCACAGAATCTGCATAGGTACTTCACCGCTTTCATGCACGTCATCTAATCCTCTCGGGATGGATACAGAGAGTTACAGCACACTCAAGCACACACTCCGTATTGTCGACTGACGGGAAAAAAATTATGTGATTCCCAGCCAATAACGGAAACTTCATGAAGAATGTTTTGTTACAACGGTTCGTTGATTGATAAATGGATATTTTTATGTTACTGTTACAACGTGTGATGTAATATTGTATGAAATGTATTGTATAGAGTATAACTTCTCTAGGTGAAAGCGAGTTACTGCACCTTTACAAAAATTTGAGTTTTCTCGTTAGATTGTCCCGCTTGAACTATATGTGAATGCTGTGCTAGCGTGTTTCAAACGTTCTTGTTTGTTTGCCTGTTTCATGACCACGATTGGGGGACATCTGCACGTAGCACCATCTATCGTCGTTGATAGCAGCAGCCTGCTGTAAATGAATGGGAAATAGGCGAAAAAAAAAAACATATCTGACGAATAAGGCTAGTTATCAAATACGATTCCAGGCTCTACACAGCTGATATTTATTTGACCAGTCTGGCAAAATTACAGGCCGCACTACAAAGTACACGGAATCCCAGAGTATTTATTACTTAACAACGGGGCCCCATGTGTTTATAAGGGCGGTGTTCGATTGTCTCGGGAAGCAGCATTTTTTTGCAGTGCAATACATCAGTTTTATTAAATCGTACCAGTAGGTCTCTGCTTCATACAGCCCGGAGTTGTTTTTGATAACTAGTTTTTTTTCAAGAGATATGATTTTTCTCATGTATACCCCTTTCAGTTATGGCAGGCTGCCGTTCGTATACCGCCGAAAGATGGCGCCACGTCCACATGTACGAATTCTTGGGAATGTTCCAAAGACGGTAAATATTTGCTTCGTGCTGTTTTGCCTAACAAATGAGTAACGGCCATAAGACACGATGCTAGAATACACATCTGCTAGAATACATTTGGTAACAGTAGTAGTAAAGGTAGGCGTGTCGAGCATGATGAGAATTGTCAGGATTTGGTTCAACATCCGCGGCGTGGTCACGTGGTAGATTCCGGCGTCGCTTGTCCTACAACCAGAAGAGCCACTTCTCATGGCGAATGTTGTCGTATCTCGTAGACTTGCCATAAGTCGTACTTGATTGAGATCTGCAAGGAACCTGCAAGAGATAAGATAGTAAGTGCACGAAACACCAAACGGTAGAGAAAATTTCTGGGGAAAATTGGTGGAAAATGAGGCGGCAAACACTTTGTTCAGCAGCTGTTTCTTTTTAACATGCAAGATCCCCATTTTCAACACGCACAATGAGTGCTTATACGTGTTACACTTGCATTCTTTTTTATTTAGTCAATATCGACATGGAAAAGACAGTGCCAAAGATAGGAGCGAAGTGCGACATGTGTTTGCTATGCTTGCCATTTCGGGCAGTTGCCCAGTTTACTACGATGCTATGCACCGTACTAGCCCGCATTATACGTGTGCACGATGCGTTAATTGGAGCCGCTTGTTGCTTAAATGTGTATAATTACGTAAATGTCCAAACATCTGTAGGGCAGTTGCAGTAGTACTTAAGGAATGGTCATACAAACACGGTTGAATTCGTTACATGAATGTTATCTTTCGTATGTTGCATATACTCTCGAAGAAGACAACAGCAGCAGCAGCCAATGACGCTCGAGTGTTTATTTTTTTAATTATCAGAAATACAGTAGGCCCGTAAGGACCTATGTGAGATAGCATCGTGTGAGAAAAACAATGCGAAATAAACACGGGAAACAATGTAAATGTGCATGAACAAACAAAACAACAAGCAAAACTACGTCATAGAATTGAAGGTAAGGTGCTGTACAGCAGATGGATGTATAGTGCAAGCATACTTAGGCATTGTACAGAAAATAAAAATGTAGCTGTTACTCGAGCTCTTATTTCACTGCTACGCACTGGTATGTGGAAGCCTAGGAAATTTCGAAAATATTAAGTGGAACAAAACAAATAATGATCACTGGAAGTTTTGATAGAAATAAACCTAAGATAAAGACAGACAAGCAATAGAATAATGAAATCCCACATATAATGTACAGAAATGACTCTTATCAGAATGTGTTTCTTAACCACCCCCTATCACCTGTTTCGTCGATGGAGCACGCGCCGATATCTGGGCTCTGGATAAAACGATCTTCGCCGCAGACGGTGTAATGAAGCGTGAAAAGGACCACTGCTGGTTTTTCTTTTGCTCGCTGCGTGAAGGCATCGCCATTTGCTTGAGACTATACACGTCCTTTCTCGGCAGGAAAAGACGTTCGTCGACCTGCGTGCGAAAAGTGTTACTATATAGCGAAAGAGCAAGAGCCAGCAGTGTTGGTCACATCATCTGTGGGCACGTTTCGTGCAAAGACGAGGTAATTTTAGTCGAATGGATCACATTTCCGTGATTAGGTTTAAATAATCATTTCTGCTAACCTGTTTACGAAAGGTTGACGAGCCTCTGAGCTATAACAGAGGCACACGCAGTAAAAGTATGCCTAAATATCAGTGATGAACAGTTATTTGAGTTTTCGTTTTGAAAGATAAATCTACACATTCTCTTTGTATCGATAACAGAAAAAGGACAAATTAAAGGCAATAATTTTGAATAGTTTGAATGGTGGGATATCAATACAACAAGTCACGAATTTTGTTCACAGCAGAGAAATGATTAGAGTGAAATCTATCTACCTAACCAAGGTATTAAATATTGTCCTCTAAAATCCCTGTTACATATACATTACCTATAAGGCATGTGAACAGTTGAAGTCAGAATCTGGCAGTAAAGCTGGGGGGAGCATGTTATAGCAAGTGTACAAAGCATCCATTGAGGAATAAAAGCTCTAATAAGAACAATTGAGTTCTTTGCTGTTGAATGCTTTGGGCATATTTACGTCACTTTCACAAAAAAAAAAAAACATTACCAGCTGAGCGTTTTGTTTATTTAGAAAATGTGGTTAACAATTAAGAGCCATCGGTACTCTACTAGGGTAGAGCTGAAAGCCGTCCCTTGGGCCTCGCACTTGATGATGCCGCATTGACTAAAATCATACCAAAGCCTACAATTTCTACGAAGCCCACAGCTGGCAGCTAACGCCATGTCCACCTATTGGACAGCGAACGGAGCCAAGATAGGACGCTGCTGTGGAGTTTGTCCAAGAAGTTACCAGTTGAGAATTTTTGTTTGAGCAGCTAAAAACGTGTGAAGGTAATACTCATGGATAGAAGCACACACCACCAGCGTGTGTCTTTAGCAGTAAAAAGAAACAGCATTCATAAAAACAAACTACAGTATGACTCACCAGGGCTGTCAGAGCCACGCGCAACTCGCAGAAAAGAAGGGACCCAGTTCAATTTTTCGAAAACATGGCAAAAATCCACGAGCTGACTGACAGTCGAGTGCACGCTGTTGCGCTGACCTAGTCGCGATCCGCAGAGAGACAGCGGGAGGTAAGAAGACGAAGGCACCCTATGGGGTACACCACGAGCGACGGTTGCCGTGGGAGCTACGCCCGCTGATACGAGATAAGCCTGTCTGCGCAGCTACTTGGTGATAGTAGGCTCCCCTAATCTAGAAAAGTGGAGCGTACGCTGCTAGTTGTGTGCAGTGGTGAGCTTAACGTAGGGTTGCTGTATGGTTAGATATATACAAGTATATATACAAGTACTTGTACTGCGGATGGAATGTTGGTTTGGTGCCGGGTGTTGATCCTATAATGATTAACAACAACTTTACACGTAGACGACATGACTAGTATTATTTTCATGTTGCCCTATGACATGAATTTGCGTGCGGTGTAATGCTGACAGGCGATGGGGACGAGGGCAGGGGCATTAACAAGGAAACAAGAAGACACGCTTGTATACGACTGCTGCAAAGGGTTCCTTCCTGCAGCGCAAGTTGACAGGCACAAACCAGATCACGTGAGCGATTGTGTAGGAGAATATATTCTTAAAATGCCGGATATGTATGCACGCACGAGCCAACGTACAAAATATGTATATCATGTTCATGCATGTGCACGTACGTACTATCACCATGGGAAGAAACACAAACAACGGAACGCGTGCTTTAGATGCGAAGTGTCCAATGGTCGAGTCCAATTCGGTGTGCGGCGTGACCACCTTTACTGCGCATGCGTGATCCTCCCCCTCTCCTACGCTCCCCCTTTTGTCTCCTCGCAACGTCGACACAGGCAGCGTCTGATAGCCAACGCTCGCTCCCCCTCTCTGCTCTAGGCGTCTCTCACCTCCAATGGAGGCGTTTACACCTCTATTGCGCATACGCACCTCTACCTTTACATTCGGCCACAAGTACTGTAAAATTCTACCGCGTTTGCTGTGTTTATTTCTCTTATTCAAGTTTCAGTTTGGTTGTGTTTCATGAAGTAGAGATTTTATGTCATTTAGTTTTGTCTCTTGTATAGTATCGCACGTTTTGTTTTCTTGCTTTGAGTTCTTGTAAGTTGTAATCTGCTCCCCTCCGTAATGCTTCAACGACTGAGGGTAACAAAATCAAATAAACAAGTAAACAGGCAAATAAATGACAAATATGTGTTTTCTGTGATTTCGATGCTTGTTGAGGTGGGCAGCCATCTTTAGGGTTTTTAACTCAAGGACTTAAACATTGATTCTTTAGTGCTTAGCTTGGACAAGTCTTTTGTCGAGTAAGAAGTAGGGGGCAATAAGCATGCATATTGTGGCGCACTCACGTCTCGGAAGCTGATAAGCTGATAGCAGGGCTGTGAAATGTCAATTTACGCCTACTCAAGTGTTTTGGCTATCCTGATTATCTGTATGCTCAGTTTATCTTGTCCCACAATTAGTTAATTGTGCCCTAGTCCACATTAGGTCAATCTCCACGCGAGGAAGTTTGTCTTTTTCAATGTCTTATCACTGCGTTGCAACACAACGTGCTGTTTTGGGAATTGTTGAAGAAGCCATTGGAGTGCCTGTGACAGAAGAGTTGCGGGCATTGCAATTTCGCCAGCCGGCAAACCTTCTGTCACGGGCACGCGTAATAAAAACGTAGAATAATCGCACTTTCCTTGATCATCGAAGCTTTGTAGCTTTAATGTAATGCCAAAACTGGCGTCTCCAGAGCTTGGCTCTCTCAGGCCACAAGTCCTTTCATCATGGGCATTGCCCCACCGCGGTGGTCTAGAGGCTAAGGTACTCAGCTGCTGACCCGCAGGTCACGGGATCGAATCCCGGCTTAGGCGGCTGCATTTCTGATAGAGGCGGAAATGTTGTAGGCCCGTGTGTTCAGATTTCGGTGCACGTTAAAGAATCCCAGGTGGTCAAAATTTCCGGTGCCCTCCACTACGGCGTCTCTCGTATTCATATGGTGGTTTTGGGACGTTAAACCCAGCATATCAATCAATCAATCAATCAATCAATCAATCAATCAATCAATCAATCAATCAATCAATCAATCAATCAATCAATCAATCAATCAGTAATAATGTGCATTATCCTGGAAATACTCAGTTGAGGAGTGACCCGAATGGACCGCAGACGTATTTGTAACATTGAATCCAATAGGTAGGCCTCCTTAAAGTACAACGACACCATCGGTTCATTTTACATCATCAAGATTTGCGCATTTGCGTGCATTGCCTGACTGCCGTATGCATAGTTACAGTAATTTACTTTTCATAGTCACCCTCCATTTTACTATTAGGGAAGCGGGCGCTCTTTTTACTGTGCCTTCCTTCCCCAGTATATAGGGTAGCCAACCAGAGACTGGATGAACTCTCTGCATTTATTTATTTATTTATTTATTTATTTAATTATTTATTTATCGATACTGCAGTAAAACATGCTGCCCATGCAGGAGGGGCAAATACAATAATACAATGACAAGGCATTCACAAAAAGACTAACAATGCAAGAAGAAAAACGTACTGTGCAAGACGCATGGGATTCACGACACAATTGCAAGAAATGTTTAAACACTAAATATTAAGAGAAGTGGTTTTCCAATTATTTTGTAAAGGTTTCCGATTGTATGAAGTGAACAGGTAAAGAGTTTCATTTTTTTATGGTGCGCGAAAAAAAGCTGTTCATGTGAGATTTAGTTTTGGTGAATATAGGCGTGAGAAAAAAGCTGTGTCTGTGTCTAGTCGACTGTGTGTTTAGGGGTACTAAAAAATGAGGCTTCCGAAGGCCAATTTTCCCTTTTATTATGTTGTGCAGGAACTGTAGGCGACTAAGTTTACGGCGATGTTCTAGTGAACTTATATTATTAGTAAGCATTAGAAGTGAAGGGGAATGTTCTCTTTTGTATTTTTCAAAAATAAATCTAACAGCCTTCCTCTGCACACGCTCCAAATTCATGATCTCTTTTTTGGTGTGAGGATCCCATACAATCGCTGCATATTCAAGTTTTGAGCGCAGAATTGCGTTGTATGCCAAACGCTTTGTACTCACTGGAGCTCTGCTAAGCTTTCTTTTCAAATACCACAATTTGCGCAAGGCTGAAGAGCATGTAAAAGATATATGATCTGACGCGGTAACTTTGTTAATAAACGTGACGCCCAAGTATTTATACGGGTCAACCTTCTTCTTTCTTTCTCTATCCTTCTCTCAAAATGGTTTTCTTGCAAGTGACAACATGCAAGAAAAAGAGTGAACTCCTCTTGCAACCTGTAGGTCATTTCGTGACCACTCTACCACGTCAAGTTGTAACTGTCATCTGGGTTTGAGCACAGGTCGCGGAAAGAATTGAAGCACAGTGCCTGACAATGTCCGTTTTTGTATATTTTTCTTTGTTTTTGAGAGCATTTTTGCGACTGGCTCTTGTGAAATAAATTGCATATATAAGGTATCTTGGTGTGAAGTTTTTCGAACAAATTCACCTGCAAGTGAGCGTCTTTTCTGTGGAATGTTCTTTGTCATCCGTGCTCCCCTATGCAAGCTGTTCGATGAACCACTATCGTTATTACTGATAGAGAAAAAAATTGCCAGCATATTTATGAATTTTATATTGGACCACTTCGATCAAAAAGGAGGCCTAAAAGATTGAATAGAAGTTCTAAAATAAAGTCAGGCAGCATCGCAATAAGGGTTCATAAACAGAAGGAAGTGCGTAGCTGGATGACCTCTTAAGCCTTACTTCAAAGGAAAAAGTAGCGCAACTTAAAAAAAAAAAGACACCACGAAGAAAGAACTATCAAACAGGTCCAGCACAAATCTACACGCAGTGCTAGAAGTAATAAACAAACTAGCCCCTGAAGACGTCCGGATCAACCTTAGGCTTTATTTTCGTCGTTTTTTTCTTTCGTGATATCTTTCTTTCTTTTCCTTTCTTTTCACCATATTTGTGTCTTTTCTCGTCTATGCTCATTTCTGTTTCTTTCTTTCTCTCTCTGCATATTTCTTTCCATGTCTCAATTGCTTTAGCTTTATTTCTAATTTTCCCCAGTCTCTCTTTCTCTCTCGCACTGTATTTCGCGCCTCCCCTTCCTTTCTGTCTCTCTTTTTTATTTCTGCCTGTATATTTGCATCTCTTTCTTTGATTCTCTCCTTCCGTCGCTTTCTGCTTTTCTTCATTTTTCCCACCTCAATTTCTCATATGCTTTACACCCTCTCTTCGTCCTCTATTTCTTCATCATACTCACGTCCGTTTCCCACGAACTTAGAGTTCTCTACTATACAAAACTATGTTACGCTCTGCTTGTGTGCCTGGATAGGCGCGCCGTTGGCAATACTCGCCTTCGGATCATAGGTACATGGTTCCGAATCCCGCCTCGTTAGTAACCTTTATTTCGACAATATTTTTTTCCCTTTACACGTTCTCTGACCCATCAGAACTATCACAGGCCGAGCCGGGTAACTCGGCGCACGTGTTGTGGTACCAAATCAGAAGAAGATGAATTTGAGAACGAAAAGATCATTAATTAGGAAAAAGACTTCCAGCTTTTCCGTTTGCGGAGCTAGGTTTAAATTTAACCACAGACATTTTTCTAAATTTTGGTGCCTCCATTTTGGGAAATCGCCACAGAGATGTGTTTGATGCGGTGTGTGTTATTTCATTCAAGACACTAAACGTATTTCAACATAAGACCCACTTCAACAAATACTAAAAAAATCCCAGCATATCCACGAAGTGAATGACAATGACTGGGGCGAAGCGCTGGAGGATTTCATCGCTAAACTGTGAACCATCTGCGAATATCATTCACTACAGCATCAAAGACGTGAAAAATACTGTATACTTTTATACAATAAATTTTATTATTGCTAAGTAATAGCTATACGTCGCTTCCGTTCACCCTTCATTAAAACGGCTTTATGGTCGGTGAAGTGATGGATCGGTGATGGGGCGTAGTGGGATGTTTGCGAGGACGAAGTAGTGGGCAGTTTGTAAAGGTGGAACTACAGGCGGTCACGTAGAAACAAGGAATGGGCACAGTGGGAAAATTTAGGGTTCTTTAACGCGCATCTGGATACAAGTACACGACCATCTTGCATATAATATTGGCTATTTC